TGTGGCGGTAAGAGTTGAGTTAGGCTCTAAAAAACCACTAAGGAGTTAATAAGATAGAAAGACTCTTCCAGAAGAAACAACATTGAGCAAAAACATCAGGCATATTTTTCATAGCACCTTTAAGCATAATTAAGGGATTCTAGACCCCAGCCTGGAGGGTGTCTCTATGCTGGTATTAAATAACAGACATGGGTTGAAGCCACAGGAGGAAGGACCTTCAATGTCAAATTAAGGCATTGGCAGAGTCAGAGGCTTTGAGGGATATGATGGCACCTAGTCAAGCAAGAGGGTCAGGAATGCATCTCAATGGGAAGTTGAAGTGAAATCAGTAGAGAGGAGGAATGTTTTGATGATAACAGCTGCAGGACTGGGCAACTGAATGACAGAAAAAGGATCATAGAACCTGAAATCCACATAAGAGTGATTTGAAATGGAAGAGGAAAGTGAGGAGAAAGAACTGCTTTTGGAAAAAATAAGAGTTTAGGGTTGCAGCATGACAGTGTTTAGAAGCTTAGACATGTCCAGAAGGCCACTGAGAATATACAGGCTAGCAGCTTAGGAATGAGATCAAATCAGAGGTTACAGTTCAGGAATTGTCTATGGAAAGATAACAGTTGGAATCTTTCTCTACAAGATTCTCAGATCTATCTGTGTCTCCCTCAGTTCCAGCTGCCCCCACCTTGTTCAAGGATCATCGTCTCTTACCTGGACTGTTGAAATAGTCCCCAGTATTTCAGGTATACATTCCAATCACATTACTGACTGAAAATAGCCCTTGAGAGAAAAGGAAACATCTGACTTTGACAATAAAAAGCACTGCAATATTCCAAGTTGCTTCCAGGGTTATATCTGGAAATGATTTCTGTTCTCTTGCTCTGTAAGTGAGGAAGCAAAGTACTGCCCAAGCTAGCCAGAAAGGTACCTGTATTGGTATGGTATCTTGTGTTTGAATATTGAATGCACAGGTACAGAATCAACCAGCAACCAGGTCAGGCAGACATTCTAGAAACAAACTTGTGCCTGTCAGATTGCAGAGTGTTGCTCACTCTTAAAGCTCATGCATGTGAAGGTTTGGGCAGATTTATCAGTTATTTCAATTAAGAGACTGGAAGGATTTGAATACCAGGACTATTTTGCTCCCAACTGATGCAAATCTTTAAAACATGTGATTGAAATCTGTTCCCAGAATTTTTCACTACAATTTTACTTTGATTTAAAATATATGCATATATATTTATCTTTTTTATTTCTTGGCAATTTTTGTGGATGATGCTTTTGCCTAATCAAAGAAATCTAACTATAGTGGTCAACTTTTTAGACAGTGGGGATAGGATCTCTTTCGCCTCTCATTCTAAAATGGGAGCCTTGGCCTTGTAAGGACAATTCAACACCCCTTAGGGCTAAATTTGATGAATTTAATCTCTTCAAAAAAATACTTTATATGTTTTTCTTTGTAAATTTTCTCTTGAAAGTTTTGACTTTTTTACAGTATGGGGATTTGAATTCAGGGCCTCATGCTTGCTAAACAGGTACTCTACCACTTGAGCCACTTTGCCAGCCTTTCATTTTTAATTGATACATAGCAATTATACATATTTTTATGGGGTACACTGGATTTTTGTTGTTTTTGTTTTGTTTTATTTTGCTTTTTGAGACAGAGTTTCACTACATAGCCCAGGCTGACCTTGAACTCTCAATCCTCCTAACCCTACCTTCTTAGGGCTGCAATTGCAAGTGTGAACCACCATGCCCTGTTAAGTGTTTTACTTTAATACATGTGTACAATACGTAATGATAAGATGAGGGTAATTGGCATATCTGTAATCTCAGACACTTATCATTTCTTTGTGTTGGAAGCAGTCAAAATCCTCTCTTTGGTTATTTTGAAATAACTGTCATCCACCATAGTTATGTGCCAGAGGACATTAGAAGTTTTTCCTCCTCTCCACCTGCACTCTCCACCTCCTTCTTCAGTTCTGCTATTCTTCTCTCTATGAAGGTTATTCTTTTCTAAAAAAGTAAGTAAACGCAGACAGGAAGTGTGGCTCAAGGATAGAGTGCCTACTTTCCCAGCGTGAAGCCCTGAGTTCAAACTCTAATCCAACCACAAATAAATAAATAAACCCAGAAAAACATTTGGCCTTTTAAAGCATGAGTATGGTTTCTTATCCTGTCCAGTAGTGGTAATTGACTCTCAGCCTGCATTCCTATTGCCTGTAAAATGTCCAGGTCTCTTTGGCCTGTCCAGAGGCAGTTAAAGAGACTAAATACAAACCAAACAGTTCAGGGTGAATATTGTATAAAAATAATGAGAAAAACTATTTTATCAATAAAACTTTTTTCTAGTGGTACTGGAGTTTGAACTCAGGGCTTTGCTAGGCAGATCCTCTATTGCTTAAGCCATCCCTCCAGACCCCTCTCCCCACTTTTTTTATCAAGCACAAGTAATTTGTGGATACGTTGCATAGAAAAATGAAATAAATAGGATGACTTCAGGAATGCCTTGCAGTCTTGACCACTCCTGCCTAAGTAGTTGATTCTGGGTACCTGTTAGGAACACCCAGTCTTCTTTACAATTTGCTTTGGAAGCCAGCTCAGTGGTTTGGAGGGACATTTACAAATGGGAAGTATGGGCTGTGCAGGACACAATGCTGTGGGTTTTTGCCCATTGAAAATGGGCCTGTTCTTCATCAGGGTATACCATGGTCATTCTAGAGCTGATATCCAACATGGCAGAGCTGTTGACCAACATGGCCAGCCTCTTGCTTTTGATCATGTAATCTACTGGCTGCCCACAAACCCAGTGCTTTAAAAAAAAAAATCATGACTCACTAAAATGTGTGGCCTGATGAACAAGCTACAAATGCAGTTGTGTTTCTTTATTTTTTGGTTGATTTTTAGTGAATTTTTGTTTGCAGAAGCGCATCTGCACAGGTGTTTACTTCAAGTGAACACCTGTAGTTTCTTGAGCAAAGTGAAGAATGAGTCACCATAAATAATTATCGTACTGATACTAGGCAGCAATTGAAGACTTGCTTTATACTAGGAACCTTCCTAAACACTGCATCTGCATTGCCATGTTTAATTTTCACAAGCAATGGACACAGAGGATAAAATTATTGTCACCATTTTATGGGTGAGGAAACTGAGGCACAGGAGATGAAATAACCTGCCTAAAGTCACAGGGTTCCTGCTTTCTGTTCCCCATGCCTTTATCCAACTGTGTCTCTGAGAAGCCCTAGTTCTTGTGTGAGTAGAAAACAGTATCTGCACATGGTGGCCATAGTGAAAGGGGTTCTGAGGCTGTCTGGGTGGGCGCTGTTCCTGAGCCATCATTTCATTATAGCTGAAAAGGAGAAAGGCTAGGATGCTTCTTTCACTTGCTTCTGTGAAGAAGGCATCCAACATCTGTTAGTTTTTCCTTTTAAGAGACTGGACCCTGAGCACTCCTGACACAAAACAGTCTTGTGTTCCCTGGTCTCTGCTGCTTTCTGGCAGAGCAAGGATGCACTGATCCACCTCCATGAAGAACCAACTGGTGGGTCTGATGCTCAAGTGTTGGACCGAGGGTCACAAGTGTTAAGTGTCTCTCCCAACTTCTCCAACCTTGACATCCATTGCTCCTTCAGTGAAGGAGGCTGGCTCTGCATGATCTTCAGACCACTCTCAAATCTCTTGGGTTAGAAAATTCCACATCCTAAATCTCTTAAATAATAAGATCCTACTGTCAGCTCTTGCTTGCCTTTTTGGAAATCCAGACTTAGTACACCAAAGAGGAAGGGTTAGTGCTCTGGAATAATAGCATTCACTCTGTTTTCCTCACTGATGGCAAAAATGCCTGAGACCCAGGACAGCCACATTTTGAAGGCCATGTAGGCCATATTTCTCCAAGTCTTTTTTTTTTATAGCACCCGTGGAGTGGCATCCGCAGGCATGAGTCCCCAGCCTGATCCTGTCTTTGGTACATCCTAAATGTCTGATCAAAAACAGTTGAAGGAGAATGAGAAGCGTAAGAAATTCCGAGTATTTTATCCCTGGTTCAACAAGTTTCTGATAGGCTATAGTGTAGGCCAAAGTATTTCCTAACTAAGTCTTAGGGTCAGATTGTCATCTTGGTTCAGAGACTGCTGTTTTCTCTTTCTGGGCTGTTTTGACTTCCTGAGTGGCTCTGTATGATAAATGCCAAGTGTTATAAAGCTCGTTATGGGAAGAATCATACACAAACTAGTAGAAAAAGAGCATTTGCATATAGGAACACACCCCTTTCTTTGGCTGAATCCAACTATTCTTAATTCCTTTCCCTCCCCACTGTCTGCTGAGTAATAAGCAAGCTTTAAGTCATATTCTTTGTTGAGATAATGTATTTTAAAAAGACTAGCTCCAGGGAACTGAATGGCAACTATGAAAGTCAGGCTTAGAAAGGGAGACCATTACATTTAGCAAGATTCAGATTATGAGAACAGAACCAAGAAAAAAAAAAAATCTCCACACTGAGGCAGGCACAGGTTGTAGAGCCTTGGTTGTTCCTTCTCTACTGTCGTGCTCATTAAGAGTGTGGACTCCAGAGTTGACTTCTTGGGTCTCTGTCACTTACATGCTGTGTGTGATTGAGCAAATTACTTTACCTGTCTCAATTTTTCATCTGTAAAATAAACAATAATGGTACCTAGCTCACGGGGTGGTTGTAAGGACCGAGTCCAAGGGAAGCACTGAGCACCTGGTACATGGAAAGTGTTCAATAAATGCTATTAATGAAGCATTCGTGGAGGATGAAGAAAAGACTTGTTTCAGATTTGCATAAAAGCTTGTTTTAGATTTGCATAAAACTTTCACTGGGCAGCCACTGAGACTGTCCTTCCTGCATGTGAGCTAATAATAAATAACCTCAAGTGTTTTGATCTGATGTTTCCTTGGTCGCCCACTCCCTGGGAAGAATGCACAGATGAGCTGCACAGACAGTTTGGGCTGACCGGCCTCCTGTTCTTTTTCTTCTTCAGGTGCTAGAAAGTTTCAAGATCATGGACTACAGCCTTTTGCTGGGAGTCCATGTCTTGGATCACTCCCTTAAAGAAGAGGAGCCTTCACAAAACGTGCCTGATGCAAGGCGGCCTGGGGTGCAGAAAGTCCTCTACTCAACAGCCATGGAGTCCATCCAGGGTCCAGGGAAGCCTGGAGACGGGCTTGTCACCGAGAACCCAGACACGTAAGTGCAGCCGCACGCCCCTCCTCACTGTGACAGCCCCATCACAGGGTAATTCTACGATCATGGTCCCCATATGGTGGCACTGTGGGACTAGAGGCCTACTTGGTGCTAATGTGGGGTAAGCCAGCCTTCATTGCTGTTCATGGATGGAGACACGGTCACCCACAGCTCCCTGAGTTACTCTTCCACATGCAAGCTTTCTTTTTTTTTTTTTTCACATAGCGCCAATTTTTTTTTAATAATGACTGAAATTTTTTTTGCCACCATTATACTGCATATTCAAAACACTACCATGGGGGGAAGAATAAACTGTGGATTTGAACACACATGCATTTAAGCAAATGCACAATAGGAGTGATGGTGGTAATTCAGTGTTTTATCTGCAGGAGATTCTGTTGCCTCAGCCAGATGTAACAAGAACTGCAGGGCCGATTTGCATGCATAATGCTGATGTACTATCAACAGAAAAATTACCACCAAAGAAGATTATTGAAATGGTTGACTTCCTCATGGGTGTAAACTCGCTGAGCAAGGAGACTAAAAGAAAGAAGTCACTTCCCATGACCATAAGTGCCTGATTCTAGGAATTCCCCAACAATGAAATGTGCACAGGCACATTTCTCTTTCATAAGGAAGTTAGCACAAATTCAATCTTTTTTTAATCCTTGATTACAACTCCACTTAAATGTTCAATAATCAGTTGAACAAATTATACTATATCTATATGGTGAAGTACTAGACCGCTATTAAAAACCTTACTCCCATCAGGCATAATGGTACACACTTGAAATCCCAGTTACTTGAGAGCCAGAGACAGAGGAATCTTTTTCTTTGGCAGCACTGGGGTTTGAACTCAGGACCTCACACTTGCTAGGCTTGCTTGAGCCACTTGGATAGCCCTATTTTGGATTGAGTTTTTCTGAGATAAGAGTCTCACAAACCATTTGTCTCGGGCTGGCTTAGAACTGCAATCCTCCTGATCTCTGCCTCCTGAGTAGCTAGGATTATAGGCATGAGCCATGGGCACCCAGGCAGGAGGATCTTTAGTTGAAGGCCAGCTCAGGTAAAAGTAGCAGTGAGACCCTGCCTCAAAAACAAAATGTCTAGAGGGCATAGCTCAAGTGGTAGTGTGTTTACCTAGTGTGGACAAGGCCCTGAGGTCAGTCCCCAGCACCATTAAAAAAAAAAGCACATTACCGTTGACTATGAGGAAATGTCCATCACTTAATAAGTATAAAATTCAGGTTATAAAACATGACAAATTAACTAATTCCCTTTGTAGATATAAGAACACACGCACATATACTAGAAAGGTATACCAAATGTTAATAGTTATCTCTGCATCCTAGGAATGGACTTTTTACATAGTATCTATATTTTATTATCTTTCGAATCTCACAGTCAATATGAAGTATCGTATTCTTAAAAAGCAATGTATAGCTATCTTAAACAAAAATACCTTTTTTTAAAAAAACGAAGGACAAGAAGGTAAAACAGGTCTTGTCTGAGGGGTTAGCACCAGTGGGAGGGGGGAGGATTTAAGGAAAGGGTGTAGGAGAGTGAATGTAGTAGTGGAGATATTATGTACTCATGTATGAAAATGGAAAAATGAGACTTGTTGCAGCTTTCCCAGGAATGGGGCAAGGAGGGATAAAGGAAAATGATGGAGGGGTAAATTCAATTTTGGTACATTGTAAGAACTTTTGTAAATGTCACAGTGTACCCCCAGTACAACAATAATATGATAATAAAAATGTAAATAAAATAAAGTACATATAGTTTTTTTAAAAAGTAGTAAAGTTTTCTTATGAAAATTTTATAAATACATACAGTGTATCTTGGACAAGTTTACCTCCTATATTATATTCCCTTAACTCTCTTCCCCCACTTTTAAAACAATAAATAATAAAATATTTGGTGGGTTTCATTGTGTTTTCTCCATATGTGTGTGTGTATTTATGCAATATACTTGATCCTCTTCACTCCCCAGGACCCTCTCCTTTCTCCCCCCTCATTCCATTGATTTCCCTCTACATTGCCCCTTTTTTTACACTCAAGTTCTATTATTTATTGTTATGTTTATCATTTGATACCTAGATTCCACATATGAGCAAAAACATGCAATATTCGGCTTTTTGAACTTGGCTTATTTTACTCAATATAATGACCTCCAGTTCCATCCATTTTCCTGGAAATGGCATAATTTCATTCTTCTTTATGGCTGGGTAACACTCCATTGTGTATATACACCACATTTTCTTTATCCATTCATCAGTTGTTGGGTACCAGGCTGATTAAAACAGGAATGATTCTTAAGTTGAGCTCCTTTACATCCATCTCTTCAGAGTTGACAGCTATAATGTTATGCTCCTTTGTGGGGAAATACATCATTCTAGATTCCCAGGAAGACTTTAAACTGATGGGGGGGTGGGAGGAGATGATGATGGAATTCTTAAAGATACTTATTTTCTTTTAGCTTTCTATTCTTCCATGGTAAAATATTTTCTCTCTTGCTCTATCAACAGAATGGGAGGCATTCCAGCTAAAAGCCATAAGGGAGAAAAGCTACTTTTATTTATGGGCATTATTGACATTCTACAATCATATAGGTGAGAAATTTGGGGAAAGTGGTCTTTTATTATTTCAAAATTAATCGACAAATGTTTCTGCAAATTTGCCAGGTGGGAGGGGTTTTACATTTCTAATTTTTCTATGTGTTTCCATTAGGTTAATGAAGAAGTTAGAGCATTCCTGGAAAGCACTTGTCTATGACGGGGTGAGTGACATGTGTACTTGTTAAGCTGCCTTACTTCTGACTTTTCAGAAACTCCCAAGGAACTGTGTCCCTAGATTTAAGAGGAGAGGAACTAAGGCCTTTGTAAACTCAGAATCTTAGACTGGCAGGCTGGTTCAAATCTGAGAACAAAGTCCACATAAATTTGAATAGCTATTCAAATCATTGACATCCAGCGTAGTGCCTACAGAGAGGCCAGGAAAACACAATGATGACTGTTTCTGTGTGAAATGCAAAGTTCCTCATCATGAGCTAATGAGGGAAAAAAGAGGAAGGCTTTTTCAAAGGGAAGGTTAGGGCCGCTGAAATGAAGTTCTCAGAAGCTGAGAAGCTACTAGGGGGTCCTTGAGCCCTGACTTTGTGGAAGACAGCCCTGGAGTTAAACTCAACCTGGTTTCTCACTAGTTAACAGGGTGTGGTAATAGTACCCATCTGTTGTGAAGGTGAGACAAGGTGATGTACTTTAGTGGTCAGTACAATGCCTAACACATGATAAGGACCTGGAAGTGAAAATGTTTATATTGATATGGATTTATGTATTATTTATTTATGTTACACATTTACATATGCTGACTGATATGGAGATGTCATAAGAGTCATGTCTTAACCAAAGAAAAACTCAGTTGGCAAAGAGCAACTTCTCTCTCTCTCTCACTCACCCACACAGTCACACAGTCACATCTAAATGTCACATTTGAACTTCCTGCTGCTAACCAACCATTTCTTGGCCTAAACCTCCCTCAGTAAATGACTTGATGTGACACTTCCAAAGAATATATTGATCAATGATTTGGCCACCCATTTCCCTTGAAGGTGTTAGGAAACACTTTCCTTTGAAAGGGGATAAATTATAGATGCTATTCTTCTTTCTGGAAAAGAACACACATTTTCCGTTCTGTGGAAGACTGTTAATAACCTTCCATCATGAAAGATCTGCATTCGCCCGTGGACTGAGCACTGACCCTCCTTCCCTCCCTCACAATGTACTTTTAAACAACAGGCTCACAACTTTGTTCCTGAGAGGGAAGCCCAGACTTATTCACATCAAAGATCTTCCTATGAAAAGGTCAAGGTGGAAGTCAACTCCCTGTATAGCTATCCTTATCTCAACCAGCAAAAACCCTTGTTCCTTCCTATTATTGCTTATACTCTCTCTTCAACAAAATTGGAGATAAGGGCAAAATAGTTTCTGCCAGGTAGCGAGGGGTAGAGGGGAGAGGGAGAGGCGGGGGAGTAGGAGAGGGGGTGGGGGAAGGGGGGAGAAATGACCCAAACATTGTATGCACATATGAATAAAATAAAAATTAAAAAAAAAAAGGAAAAGGTCAAGGTGGTAGGTTAATTTTAGTTCTCCTTCTAGCTGAGAAAGGTAGAAAAGACATAGCCCCTTAAAAGTGGAAGGGAGAGACAGAATACACCCACATGATTTTCATTCTTTGTCACCAAGTTGAGATTCCTGATCTCAATGGCCTCGGCCCATATTGGCTAGATGCTTCTAAGAAGCCCCCCACCTTTTATTTATTTAAAACATGCCTTCTGGCTTTTAAGTTTTATGGTTTTTAAAGAAAATCTCTGTGCCAATTATTTATTTGTAAAATCATAAGAACCATCCAGATTTATTTTGGTTTGTAGCTCTTAATTAGACAGTGCTTTTCATACCAAAGACAACATTCCTGCAGTTCCTTTAAAGGCAGGTGCTGAGTCTGAGCCTTTCTGAATCCCTCTTGTGTCCTGCCAGTATTTCTGCACAACTGTATTTGTTATGAGAAGGTGTCCACTTCAGGCAGAAGCTGTCCGGATCCTAGGAAAAGTGCAGGTTACCCCAGGGTAAATGTCCTGCCACATCTACAGCCTCCTCAAGGCTCTACAGATCATTTGTGATGTGGCAGAAGAGGTTCTGTGTACTGCACCCTTCCTAACACACTGTAAAATGGCAGGTTATCCCAACTAAGCACACACAAATGCCCCTGTGATGAGGAAACTGAGGTCCTACAACTCTGCTGTTCCCAAGATCACTTGGCCTTTTAAAGGTAGAACTCATGGGGCTGGTAGAATGGCTCAACTGGTAGAGCACCTGCTTAGCAAGCATGGGGCCCTGTGTTCAAACCCCAGTACCGCCAAAAGAAAAAGAAAAACTAAAGTTGGAACTTACACCAGAACCAGGTTTCCTGACTTTTGATCATTATATGTTTTTTATTCCACCCCCACTGCAGACCCGTTGTAGTGTCCACTCTTAAACTTCTAGAAATTTCCCTATTAAAATCCACAAACCTGGATCCAAAATGGGGTATTGCATGGGCAAGAAAATTTACTCTCACTAGAAATGTACAGCTTGGATAGTCAATGAATGATTACTAAGTGAACATAGAGAATCAGCTCCTGTATCCAGTCTCTCCTGGATTTGCAATAAGATGACCTTGCAGTTAGCATCTAACTCATTTCCCATCCGTGTGACCAGTGGGTAATTCAGGTAACACCTGGCAGACTTGTCTCCTAGGAAGCTGCCTAGCATCTACTCGCTTTTTTACTTGGAGATAGGTATAGGTAAGATAGGTATAGGTAAGAACTTTCTCAATGAAACCCCAGCAGCACAGCAACTAAGAGATAGCATAGATAAATGGGACCTCATAAAACTCAAAAAAAGCTTCTGTTCATCAAAAGAAGATGGTCTTCTAACTGAAGAGAAACACCCACAGAGTGGGAGAACAAATATTTGCCAACTATACATCAGACAAGAGGACTGATAACTAAATTCTCCCAAAACTAATGAACCAATAAAGAAATGGGCAGTGAACTAAACAGAACTTTCTCAAAAGAAGAAATTCAAATGGCCAGAAAACACATGAAAAAATGCTCACCATCTCTAGCAAAAAGGAAATGCAAATTAAAACACACTAAGATTCCACCTCACCCCTGTTAGAATAGCCATCATCAGCAACACCACCAACAACAGGTGTTGGCGAGGATGCGGGGAAAAAGGAACCCTCTTACACTGTTGGTGGGAATGTAGACTAGTACAACCACTCTGGAAAAAATTTGGAGGCTACTTAAAAAGCTGACATCGATCTACCATTTGATCCAGCAATACCACTCTTGGGGATATACCCAAAAGACTGTTACTCCAGAGGCACCTGCACATCCATGTTTATTGCGCACTATTCACAATAGCCAAGTTATGGAAACAGCCAAGATGCCCCAGCACTGACGAATGGATTAAGAAAATGTGGTATCTATACACAATGGAATTTTATGCAGCCATGAAGAAGAACGAAATGTTATCATTCGCTGGTAAATGGATGGAATTGGAGAACATCATTCTGAGTGAGGTTAGCCTGGCTCAAAAGACCAAAAATCGATGTTCTCCCTCATATGTGGACATTAGATCAAGGGCAAACACAACAAGGGGATTGGACTATGAGCACATGATAAAAGCGAGAGCACACAAGGAGGGGTGAGGATAGGTAAGACACCTAAAAAACTAGCTAGCATTTGTTGCCCTTAACGCAGAGAAACTAAAGCAGATACCTTAAAGCAACTGAGGCCAAAAGAAAAAGAAAAACTAAAGTTGGAACTTTACACAGAACCAGGTTTCCTGCTTTTTGATCATTAATGTTTTTTTTATTCCACCCCACTGGCAGACCGTTGTAGTGTCCACGTCTTAAACTTCTAGAAATTTCCCGTATTAAAATCCACAAAACCTGGATCCAAAAATGGGGTATTGCATGGGCAAGAATTTACTCTCACTAGAAATGTACAGCTTGGATAGTCAATGAATGATTATAAGTGAACATAGAGAATCAGCTCCTGTATCCAGTCTCTCCTGGATTGCAATAAGATGACTTGCAGTTAGCATCTAAACTCATTTCCTCATCCGTGTGACCAGTGGGTAATTCAGGTACACCTGGCAACTTGTCTCCTAGGGAAGCTGCCTAGCATCTACTCGCTTTTTTACTTGAAGATAAAGCAAAATGTTCCTTTAACTTAATTTCACTCTTCCATTTGGGTCATTTTGTTTATATTAACAATTTTTGTTCATGACAAAGAGTGCCAGCGTTCATTGACACTTGGAGCACTGATTGCTGTAAGAAAAGAATTTAAAAAGTCAAACACATACACACACACACTGCTACAAATAAGAATCAGCTGTTTTGATTTGTGGAGTAAAATTCTTTCACTGTCTCTCCCAGCATCTAATGCTCCCTTTTGTCTGGAATTTCCAGAATTTTCATTCTCATTGAGTCTGTGCCCCCTGCCCAGCCCCAGCCCCAGCCTCCTGGGCCCCACAGAAACAGACATGGCTCTCTAGCTCTTGCTGTTTCAGGTTGAGGGTATTGCCTACCAGAGAGCCATTTGCGGAGCTCTTTCTCTGACCTGAGATGAACTCTCTGAGAGGTAACCTGTGGTCTTTTGGTTTGTTTTTTTCAGGATACTGTTTCAGTTCATAGACCAAGTTTTATGCAGACAGATTTCTAAAGTTTATGAATTCCAGAGTTTCAAGAAAATTCAAGGTAAGATCTGTGAAAATTTCTTACTTCTACTAACACTTTAGGGCTGACTTCTCCATGCATCTGTGCAAGATTTTTATTGGAAGAGTTGGACTTTTTTCCCTACAGTGGTAGTCACTTAGTAATTATGGTCAGGTATCCCAATCAGTATTGTTGATAACCATTAGTTCTATTTTGTGGTGAAGAAAATTAGACACTGTGTATATGTCCAACCATATATAATGTGTTAGTTAAATTTATTATAGTACAGTCAAATAGTGGAACAGTACACAACCAATAAAAATGAAATGTAGAGGCACAGTTGGTCCCATTAAGTATAGATTTATGCAATCTATGTGGTTATTGTTCTATATACCTTATAAGGCCACCAAAACTCTAGTGAGACATAAAACTATTTACAGGGGTTATTTTCTTGGAATATTTTCTAGAATATATCACGTTAGGCCACAAAACAAGTCCTAATCAATTAAAAAAGATTGAAGTTATACAAAGTATCTTTTTCTATTCTGAACTGATATTTTTATGAGTGTAATTTCTGATAAATGTGTCCAATTGGGGATTATTTACTTGGGATAGATTCCAAGAAAGTATATGAGTATTCAAGAGCACATAACTACACAGAGGACTGGACCGCTGAAGGCTCCCACAGTCTGTATCCTAACAGCCCTCAGTCAGAATTATGCTTTTTAAATTGAGCCACTCTGAGAAGTCAGAAATCTTATCTAGTTCTTTTGTTTTGCATTTCTTGAGTACTGGCAAAGTTTAGCCATTACTCATGTTTATTAGTCATTTATAAGTCCTTTGAGAATTGAGGTTTGTAACATTTGCCCATTTATATTGGGTGTTTATTATTCCAGATGATTTATATGAACTCTGTTCTGTATATTAAAGACATAACTTCCTTTTTCCCTCATTATTCCAAGAAAACTTTTTTCGCATTGATTGTGTCACTGTCTCAGTGACATCTCCAATTGAGGCCACCATCAATTAAATTGTCTGCCTCAAGTTTTTCTGGCCTAAGATCTCCTCCACCATGTTGGAGACCCTGAGTTTCCTTGCATCCCCCAGTGCGTTTGCAGAGATGTGGCCTTTCATGTCCCAGCCTTAGGAGGACTCTTCAGGAAACACACATACCCACTTGGCAGATGTGTTTCTTAGCAGCATGTGAATGAATGTAAAATCAATGACTTCTTCAGTTCCCAAAAAAACACAGCATGTGCTACAAGTTTTCCCAATGTGTATGGCTTACCATGCCTTTTTTTTTTTTTTTTTTGGCGGTGGTACTGTACTAGGGTTTGAGCTCAGGGCCTCACTCTTACTAAGCAAGTACTTTACAACTTGAGCCAGTCCACCAGCCCTTTTTGGGTTGTGTATTTTCAAGATAGGGTCCCACAAAGTATTTGCCTGGGCTGGCCTTGAACTGTGATCCTCCTGACCTTTGCCTCCCAAGGAGCTAGGATTACAGGTGGAGCCACCAGTGCCCAGCTTATCATGCTTTTAATGTAAGAATCTTTCACTTCTTAAGCCTGTTTTTTTTTAAAGTGTGTTAAGGTATAAGTCATATACCAACCCTTTAATGGTTCTTCGTATGTTCACTAAAATCTAACTTTAGAACATTTTGTTACCCCATAAAGAAGCCCCATCCTTCTGCATTCCTCCTCTTCCCAGTGCCAGCAGCTACCCCTTCACTTCTATCTGTGATGTTACCAGTATTCCACATTTCATAGAAATCATGTAATCGTGACCTTTTTGTTGTAGCATGTTATCTGTACTTTACTCTTGTGGTTTGGTTTTGTTTTGAGACGGGGTCTTGCTGTGTAGCTCAGGCTGACCTTGAACTCAAGATTCTCCTGTCTCTCAGCCTCTCAAGTGCTGGGATTATAGACATACTACCCTGCCTGGCTACTTTTTAAAATGTATACTACATGGTAAGGGAGGGGGTGGGGGCAGGGGGGAGAAATGAACCAAGCCTTGTATGCACATATGAATAATAAAAGAAAAATGAAAAAAAAATGTATACTACATTTTACTATTCTCAGTTGATAGACATTTGGATTGTTTATAGTTATGAATGCTATGAGTAATGCCGCTATGAACACTGAGGTACAAGGCTTTGTGCGGATGTGTATTTTCATTTCTATTGCACATATACCTAAGAGTGTAAATGATGAATCAGGTAATTACTTTAAAATTTCCAGGAACTGCCAAACCCTTTTCCAAAGAAATAGCACCACCAGCAATATATAAGGGGGTTCCAATTTTCTCACATCCTCATTAACATATGTCACCCTCTGTCTGTTTTGTCTTCACCATCTTAGCATAAATTAGGACCTCACTGTGATTTTGATTTGCAGTTCTCTAAGAGCTAGCAATCTTGAATATCTTGTTGTGTGCTTATTGATGATTTGTATCTTCTTTAGAGAAATGTTTATACAATTCTTCACCATCAGTACTTGGGTCATTTGTCTTTTTGTCATTGAGTTGTAAGAAGTTCTCTATGACTCTGGACACAAGTCTATTATCAGATATGTAAATTACAAATATTTTCTTCTATGCTATGGGTATCTTTTTGCTTTTTGGATGGGGTCCTTTGAAGCACAAAATTTCTTAATTTTGTTTTAGTCTAGTTCAGAGAAAAAAATGTTAGACTAAGTCCTGAAAATTTAAGCCAGAGTTTTCATTAAGAAGATAAATAAGAGCAGCTGAAGGAAAGGGAAGAGTGTGGTCATGCCACAGGGTCAGGTGGGTGAGCTGGAAAGTAGTCATATATGGATACAGCTAAGTACCAGAACATAAGGCTGGAAATGGGCACAGGACCCTAGCCCCAGACATGGGTTAGCCAAAGACAAATCCAGGAGTTTCTTTCACAGAAAATTAATAAACCCACAATGCAAACTGTCTTTCAAGATTACCCTGTCAAAATTAGTACCTGAGGATTTAGATTTTCTGCCAGATCCAAGTTATTGTCTGCTAAGTGAGGCCTAGCTTATTCCTTTAAGGAAGAAATTCATCATTTAAGACATAAGTAAATTCTTTCTTCCGGTGCTCTATGGCAGAGGTTTGTTTCCAGGCCCTCTCTGCTCGGTCATGGGTGGTGCTGACTATAAACAAGGGAGAGTTGTTTCTTTTTCCAGGCTTTTGGCTGGAAAAAGGCTAGGTCTCCTGATTGCTGTGCAGTCACGCACTGCTCCCACCTCACCCAGGTTTAACATTCACCCTGGAACAACAGTATAGAAAAGCAATTCTCAAACCTTTTGGTCTTAAGCCCACTTTATAGTCTTAAAAGATTGTTGAGATAACCAAAGAGGTTTTATTTATGTGTAGTTGTCTGTATTTCACATATTAGAAACCTAAATTGAGAAAATATTATAAAATTTATTAATTCTTACCACTTAATAATAAAAAACTACTGTTATGTTAACATAAGTCAGTTTTAACAAAAAAATAAGATTTTAATATAAAAATAATTGTGAAAAATTTTATTTTCCAAAACAAGTAGTGAGAAAAGTGGCACTATTTTAACTTTTCTTCAAATCCCTAATGTCTGACTTAGTGGAAGATAGTTGGAGTCTCACACTGGCATCCAAATTCAGTCTAAAGGGTCTGTATGCCCAGGTCACACAGCATCTGGAAAGGTCTAGGTATGTGTGAGAAAAAGAATGAAAAAGGCCCATAATGTCCCATGTTATGAAAAATAGTCTTAGCCTTACAGACTAAGGTCTCAGGGACCTCTAACAGACCCCAAACCACATCTGGTATCCTCTGACTTAGAAACCTAAAAATACTACATTAAAAGGCAAGATATTATCAAAGCTTATAAAAGTTAGCAGAAGGAATGTTATGGCAGAAGCCGGAGTGGGGATAATTTCTTCAGACCTGTAAAACAAGAGGGACCAGCATTTAATAGAATAGAGACATAAGGAAAATAAGTTCTTTGGTCCATTTAGTTATCATTAAAATCGACTTTAATCAGTTTTTTAAACAATCAAAATCTCCTTTCCGTAAAAAGCAAATTCTAGTTTTATCTTTAACACACACACACACACACACACACACACACTTTAACAGAAAAAGGAACACTAAAGAGTTAGAAACTGAAGGAAACAAGAAAGACCCCTGGGGTTCATGCTGTCTGGCTCTGTAACCTGGAGTATCGCACTCTTTCTATCCTCCATTTCTGGGCCTACGAAAGGACTTAGCCTCCCTCAGCCGTGTGGATAATTTGAAACAGACAATGTGAGTGTTAGCTTCCAAACGCGAAAGCCCTAGGCTACAAACCTTATTTAGGATGATGACAATATTATTATGATTGTAAGTCTGCTCAGGGGATAGATAAACCTTCCCTTCCCTATAAGTAGAGAGATCACCCTTCATCCTTCCCTCATTTGTGTGTCCCAAAGTCCTTCTCCAATTAAATTCTTGCAAACAGGAAGGCCCCCAATGAGCACCGTAATCTAAGCTCTGAGATTCCCAAAGCTAAACACAGTTACTCTAATACATTTGCTGTCAGTTTACCCCTTTATGTAAAGCTCCAAAGGAGAAGAGACACTGCCAAAAACAAGTTCAAGGGAAGCATAAAAAGGCTCCGCCTCCCACTCCCCTTCCTATTTCCTCCAAGGACATTCCCTAGCAATATTCACAGGAAGAATTACTGAAGTGAAAAATGAATAGAAATAGGGATGATTCCATTGTAGCTGAAGCAGCTCCCACTGTCAGTCACAGGCTTGGGCACGATGGTTTGGGAAGTACATTTCCATTGGCTCTGGTTCCCTGGGCACTTCTGAAGTTGGAAAATGCTGTCTAGACAAGATGGGGAGTGAAATTATACATCTGACACAACCATGACCTTGAGAGAATCCTAGAAAGGACTCTGAGCTTTCAGGGGAAAACACAGAAAGAAAAAAGCATCCAGAAGTAACTTGGCTAGCATGGGCAACATGAGTACAAGATGAAACATTGGCATGTGTAGAAAGTTCCAGTCCCC